AGGCAGGTTTCAAAATCCCCCCCACACACACTCATCTTCAGCTCTGGGACTCCAGGGTCAGGCTTCAGCCCCTCCACCCTTCCTTCCTCAGGACTCGGGGTGGGCTCCAGCAGGGCCAACTGTGCCAGGTTCTGTAGTCAAAAGGCAAGGAGCAGGGGGACCCCTGGGGCTGATGGGGGGGATCCGGAAGGCTGGGGGAGAGGGCCTGGGGAGGCAGCAGGGGCCAGAGGGATGGGGGGGCAGCAGAGGTCAGGAGCACCCAATTACAGTTGTACTTGGTTTTTATTACTGAGTCTGCAAAAAGCCAACACGTGTCCATGTGGGCATTGCTTTGTTTTCTCTGAAGTTCATTAAGGAACATTTGCAAGAGTTCCTGGCCATTGGGATACCAGCCAAAATCTGGACGGCTGGCACTCCGGACAGAAACCGTCCCCTTGGGCATCCTCCTGCACCCGGGGGTGGGCAGAGCATCCCAGCGGGCCGGCAGGACTCAGGAAGACACTGGTTCTACTCCTGACTGCAGCTGGGTGATCTGGAGCAAGTCAGGTTGCCTCTCTGTGCCTCAGGTCCCCATCTTGGCAAGGGGATCCCTCTCTTGTAAAGCCGCCCGGAGCCTGCACCCGAGAACAGCCGGGGATTGGTATTAAATCCCACTGCAAGTTCTTCTTCCAACTCAAAGCTGCCACGCACAGGGAGCACGGCCCTTTGCACACTGCATTGCTGACTCTTCAAGGTGCAAATTGTTCATGTCACGTAACATCTAACAATGCTGCTTTGGACCATGTCTGGCTCTCGCTCGCGCTCCCTGCCCCCGCCTCTCTCTCTCTCTCAGACACACACACTGGAGAGGTCGAGGGGGTTAACCCTTTTTACAGCACTGTCACCCTTCAGTAGATGGCGCACGAGCATGGAGGAGAGTGACTCTCCTCCCCTAAGGTGCAGGACCCAGGAGATGCAGGGAGCGGTGGTTTCGCTCATCACACAACCAGGGCACTCCGCTCAGACACAGAACGTTGCTTTGCAACTGCATCCCAAGTAAATTGCAGACGGAACGAACCTGGTTATGAATAGCAATTACAGCTTAATTTCTGGGAAACCGGAATTATTAGAGCTGAACTAAAATTCTGCTCTCTGCCTTTCCGACACGTGTCCCTAAAGAAGGGTCACATCTTGGGCAGGAGATGGGGTCGGGGACGGGGACCTGCATGCACACAGGAGCAGCACTTGGGGGCTACAGACAGTTGGAATTACAACCCCCCCATCTGTAGGACTCCCTACAAACACTGTAACCCTGGGGACGAGAAGCTGGATCCACACCGCTCAGTGAAAACATCCTTCTCACACATGGCTTAGAAAGGCAGGATGTTGGGGGCGGCAGTTCGGGGAATAAAGAAGCTCCCGTTCCTGGTGCATCCCATTTCTGCTGGAGTCTTCTCTCCGGGCAATGTGAAACACTCCAGCGAGCAGCGGGAAGGGATGTCAATAGCCCCGGCCATCCGAGGGCGTGTTCAGTGCACAAACGCTCTGCGTTCCCATGGACCTGAGAAATGGCTTCGATTTCTCCCGTCAGTCAAATGTAACGATCTCCGTGGCAGCTCACAGAGCGAAACAACAGTCTCTGGGCCGGCACAGGGCTTCTGGAGAGCTGGGAGCAGCCAGGCAACCCAGGGACAGCAGCTGCCCGCCCAGGACCACCTTTGTCTGGGGAGAGCGTCAGGAGCAACGGGCCAGCATTCGAGAGTCCCTCCCGCAAGACTTTTTTACGGCCAACTCACCATCGTGCCCTGACCTC